CTCATGACCAGCAGTACCAAAGAAACTGGCGTCGAGCATTGGATTCGTAGCGTTCCTTCCACGAACACCTTTTTAGATGTGGGTCCTCGAAGTCGACCTTTTTTTGTTACAGGAGCATACCAAAAAATCGATGAAAAATCTCAAGTAACGATATTCTGAATCCCTGCGATAGTATTTTTTATTTGAGCGATGTCGTATCTATGCAGTGGCGGGTAATGTCCGAGGATGCCTCAGTATTATCTGTTGAGATTATGCGTCAATGTTCGATGGCACTACAACCGTTTGTGAACGATCTTCATGTCCTTCGTCATTGGGTCAGCATTAATTATTATTAAATATAGTGGTCCCACGCCCCACAATGATTTATGTTAATGAATGCCCTATTATCGTAATAATCCACGTCCACATTTACTGATCTTCAGATTTCATATAAATAATCTTAGATATACAGTTTTTCTTTGAAAGTAGCCCTAATCTTCTGCTCGTCTATAGATTTATTAGTACTTAGATCATCTTCAATTGTTGTAAGTACCCTAGTGAGCAAAGAATCTACCAAGACTCGCTGTTTATAGATTCCTCGGCTATCGTCTAGTATCCAAAAATTTGTTCATCTTTAGTAGATTTCATGACTATATTTATGTTGACAACTAAAATGAAAATATAAAACCCTGACATCAATTTCTATAAAAACTTCCTGTGTTCAGCTCATCTTTTATGTACTCTCTTCTGCTCGAATATAAAGTCTTTCTACTTCTCAAATGTAAAGGCCCCCTTCAGCTCGTGTCTAAGACTCCGTTTAGTTCCTCCATAAGATACTCCCATCAGCTCGTCTAAAAAGACTCTATTTCGATCGTCCCCTTTAGCTCGTCTTTTAAAACTATCTTTCACTAATCTATAAAGTCTCCCTCCCGCTAGTCTATAGAGACTCACTTCGTCTCGTCAATGAAAGACTCCTTCAGCTCATCTATGAAAGGCTCCCTTTAGCTCGTTTTAAAAGACTCTCTATGAAGACTTCGTCCCAACAAACATCAAAAAATAAATTATTTCTTTAAAATAAAAACAAACTGAAACAATTTAAATAAATAAATTAAGAAGAAGACTAAACTAAATACTTTTTGCATCAACTTCTCAAAAACCTTTGGCTTAAGCATTTGCATTTTGTGTGTGAGTGTTTGGTGTAATTGGTTGTCTAAAGAAATATTTCATTTATTCCTTTGTGTTTGTTTTTTTGTTTTAAAAAAGCTTTCATGTCCTGCTATTCAAAAGCCTAAATGTTTCTTGTTTGTTGTTAATTTAAAGCTATCTAAAATATTTTTATAAAGTGTTGCAACATTTTATTGCAGTTTGTTTCTTAGAAAAAGAAAACGAAAATAAAAACATAAACAAAGCCGTTTGAAAAAATAAATTATCAAACTTAATTAGACAGGCGTTTGTTTTTTAAACAAAGTAATTGTTCAAAGGAATTTTTTTAAAAAAGAATATATTTTGTCTTAGGGGGTTTTTAAAATTGTTAATAATAGTATTTTTTGTAATGTTTTTGTATTCGTTTCTTCTGTTGAAAATCATAATTAATTAAAACAATATTTATTTTTAAACAACAAATATTTTTTACACAGCCAATAATTATTTTTCTTTTTATTTGATTTTTTTCATCTTCAAATTCAAGGCATCTAATTTTTTGTTTTCACAACTACAACCAATTCAAAAAAGCAACATAAAATTCGGGTTTCTTTTCAAAAAAAAAATTACTCTACAACCAATTCAAGGCAAATAACTAAATATTGTTTCTGAATAACAAATAATAATTTGTCTTTATTAATTTTTTTTTTAAAAATAAATTCTTGTTGTTTGGTTTTCTGTTATTTCTCAAATACTCACTGCAGTATCTGGGTTAAATGAAAATTAAATGTAGGAGTTTCTTTTTTTTTTCTTGTTGTGAAAAAGTGCATTCAAAACGTTTGTGTTCCGTTGGATTGAAGAAGGATTGTTTTTGGTTAATTCGTAGGACTTCTAAAGTGAAGGAAACATCAATATGGTTTTCATATGGGTGGTACTAGTCATTGGGAGCTTCTTGGACATAAATTAAAAATAAATGATAACCAGATAAATCGGCTGAATATAGAATATTGAAATCTGGCAATATTCAGGTACATTCTAATTTTTTTGAATTTATACATGCGGCCAGAAAACTACTAAAATATATGAAACCAGTAAGGAAAACAGTAAAGTCGGACTGGGCCTACTATATGATACCCTTCACCACTTTGGGTATATTCTACATATGTATCCTAACAAACGTAGCGTACTTGTTATATATCTATATCTGAACCGATTTCAGGGAAACTTGCCAGAGACTAATTTATATTACTTCAGTACGTTGTGTCAATCGGCCTAGCAACATCATTCTAGACTTAATTCAGTACTCTATGCCAAAATTCGTGCAAATCGAATGGTATATAGAGACTTTGGTGTACCAATTACATAAAATAGGACGAAAATATATATGGGAGCTATATCTAAATCTGTACCGTAAATCTGTATTTTTACGAAACTTGGCAGACATCATTCTCGATCTTATTCATAACTCTGTGCCAAATTTCGTGCACATCAAAAGATTTCCAAGGACTTTAGTGGACTAATTATCTAAAATCGGACGAAGATATGTATGGGAGCTATATCTTAATCTGTACCGATTTTTACGATACTTGGCAGACATCATTCTCGATCTTATTCATAACTCTGTGCCAAATTTCGTGTACATCAAATGATTTCCAGGGACTTTAGTGGATTATTTACCTAAAATCGGGCGAAGCTATATATGGGAGCTATATCTAAATCTGAACCGATTTTCACGAAACTTTGCACACATTATTCTATACTTAATGTAGTACGCTGTGCCAAATTTCGTGCAAATCCAAAGATATTCAGAGACTTTGTGCACCATTTACCTTAAATCTGACGAAAATATATATGGGAGCTATACCTAAATCAGAACCGATTTTCACGAAACGTAGCACACTTCATTATAGACCTAATTCATAACTCTGTGCCAAATTTCGTGCAAATCAAAAGATTTCCAGGGACTTTAGTGGACTATTTACCTAAAATCAGGCGAAACTATATATGGGAGCTATAGCTAAATCTGAACCGATTTTCACGAAACTCAACGCACATCATTCTACACCTTATTCATTACGCTGTGCTAAATTTCGTGCAAATCGAAAGATATATAGGGACTTTGGTACACCATTTACATTAAATCGGACAAAAATATATATGGGAGTTATATCTAAATCTGAACCGATTTTCACGAAACATAGAACACGTCATTCTAGGCTTAATTCAGTACGCTGTACCAAATTTCGTGCAAATCGAAAGCTATTTAGGGACTTTGATGCACCATTTACTTAAACCGGACGGAAATATATATGGAAGCTATATCTAAATCTGAACCGATTTTTCCCAATTTCAATAGGGTTCGTCCTTGTGCCAAATAAATGTACTGTGCCAAATTTCATCCAATTCGGATCATAGATGCGTCTGTACTTTGTTTACAATTTAACATGGACAGACAGACGGACATGCATAAATCGACTTAAAAAGTGATTCTATGCATATTCGCAAAAGAAACCATGTGTCTATCTCGTTTCCTTTTGCCTCTTACAAACATATGCACAAAGACATAATACCCTGTAACACAGTGTGGTGAAGGGTATAAATATTAATATTGGAACGATTTGGAACGAGGCTCACAGTTCTAGTGTAGGTCTGATAATGCAAAGATTTATTTCGAGTCACTGGAAACAGTGTTGCGGTTCGAAAAAAGAATAGGACCAAAATGAACGTACAAATGGGGCCAAATCAGATTTGTAGACCAATATTGAAAATTTGACCGAAAATGGACAAATTTGTTCGATGGTTGATGGTAGCTGGTCTATAAAGGCTCCTAGCAGCTCGTTTATAAAGACTCTCTTCAGCTCGTCTTTAAAGATTCCCATTAGCTAGTCTATAGATACACCCTTCAGTACGTCTATAGATACACCCTTTCAGCTCGTCTGTAGATACTTCCTTCAGCTCGTCTATTAAAAACTCCCTTCAGCCCGTCTATAAAGACTCTCTTCAACCCGTCTATAAAGACTCCCTTCAACCCGCATCAGCTCGTCTATAAATATTTCCTTTCGCTCTTCTATAAAGACTCCCATTCGCTCGTCTATAATGATTCCTTTAGCTAGTCTATAGAGACACCCTTCAGTACGTCTATAGATACTCCCTTTCAGCTCGTCTATAGATACTCTCTTTCAGCTCGTATATGAAAAACTCCCTTCAACCCGTCTATAAAGACTCTCTTCAACCCGTCTGTAAAGATTCCATTTAACCCGCTTCAGCTCGTCTATAAAGATACCCTTTCGCTCGTCTATAAAGACTCCCTTAAGAAGAATTGGACAAAATGAAGTTTGGTTCAATGGTTGAAATTGAGAAGTGTTTCAATCCAAATGTAGTCCAAAATGGCAACACTTGCTGGAAGAGTTAGTTTTTATTGGGTTAACGAAAATTCGTACTAAAAATCGGATGTCGAAAGTAAGTCGTGAGGATGGAATGATGGACTTAACTACCATGAAACATATTTCTAAATTTAATCCAGAAAACTCCCACTGCCCAGCAGCACCCAAGATTAACTTTAAAAATTTTTTTTTTCATTATTTTATTTTTTTTAATTATTAATTTTTTGCTTTCCTTGGAACACAAACGTTTTCATTTCTTATTTTTTTATTCCTGGTTACACTTCATTCGTTGGTGGGTGATGGGGGGATCGCGTTGGGGGTGTTTCTTATACGTTTTTTAGTTTGTTATATTTTATTTTGCTTTGTATGTTTTTCTTTTTTTAATATCAAAACTATTGTTTCTGTTTTTATGTTTTCTTGTACTGACGCTTTAACAATACTAAAAAAGAGAGTTTAGAGAAGAAATATTATCTTGTGATATCGTACCGTTTCGCTCACCTTCTTGTCCCACTGTAGGACGTACGGGACTGGATGATCATTGGGGAATTCAACGTGACAATTGAAGATGACACCTTCACCGAGTATGGCTGTGATATGGACAGCATCTTCTGCAAAGAGCGAAAAAAACAATTGTTGAAAAAATTAATATTAGAATAAATGTCAGATTTTAAAAAGGAATACAAAATAATGAACACATGTTTGTATAGGAGGCGTAAATTTCTTAAACAATTCTTTAAGGATGAATGTTTTAAAGAATAATTTTTCCTGCAATAATATTAAAAAATATTATTTTAAAAATCTGATTCTGATTTAAAAAATACACGCTTATAATAACACATAATACCCCTTTAGATTATAGAGGGGTCTTACGTTTCGGAATTTCTGAAATTTGTTTATACCTAAATAATATTTCCCTCATATACTCCCTCCAACATAACTCTCAGCCCAAAAGTTACAGCGGAAGTAAAATATACAAATAGTTGCCAGACTTATTAATGCCAACCCATTCTCTCCCCCATCCACCTACCAATACCTGAAAAACCTGAAACCACCATGAAAACTAAATTTTCTTCGCACATAAGCCAGAAAACTGTCAAATGCGACGCCAACACACACACCAGGATAAAAGTACAAAAGTGCTTGTTTTGCGAAGCAAACTTCAAATACGTTCGGAGATTTCAACGATAACGTGACATGACATGTAACATACGATAATTTTCATTTCCTCTTTGACAATTCTCCTCTTTCGAGAAAAGAGAAAAAACTTTACAAAGAAATACATAGAAGAAGTTATTTGCAGGAAGTGTAGACATCAGACAATTCTTTGGTGAATGTGTTGATGAGACACGACCATCATCGACGCCATCACCACCATCATCATTGGCGTATGATGACACGATGACATTGAGCCGGCATGCAGTTGAATATTTTAGACAAACAAAGTTTTTTTTTCGTACACCGTCTAAACACCTAAAAACATGCGACGTGTAAACTGTACACAACTGCCAGTTGTAGTCCCTTTTTGATCCTTTCGTTTGCTCTTAAAGTTGTAAAGTTGCTACTTGAGTTGTTGCTGTTGTTGTTATTTGAGTTTTTGATGCTCAAGTGGACGTCTGTGTTGTCGTCGACAATGTATCGTCGTCTTAAATGACCATATTCCTGTTGATTTTGTAGTTTCTATTCGAGTTCATGTTCTCTACTATTATATCTACGTGTATGTGTTGTTAGCACTTCCGTTTACACACAGTGTCACATACATTCACTCATTGATAGACAACAATTACTACTTAGCTGCCATGACATGTCATCAACACGACACAAAACATTGCTGTCAAGGATTAAAGTGGCCCACGAGAAAGAAAAATTGTATAGCGAATTAATACCAAAAGAAGTTGGAAAGTTATATGTATATGGCAGGATATGGTACCTTTGGAAGAATAGATACTATGAGAAGGATACGTGGAAATTGTTGTTTTGTATTAAACAAAAAAAAAAAAAAAAAAACTCTTAAAAAATTTATGCTTCAAATGGGACAAATCTTTTGCTTAATATTGGATTTTTAATTATGGAAAATTTTACAATTTGTGGGGAAGTTTGATTCAAATCGGATAGTCCGTTCGAATAATATTATAAAATTAATTTTAGCACACTTCTTACCATTTTGTGGGGTAGGTACCAGAAGGAGCGGATCAATATTCCCCATCATCGAACGTAAACTATTGACTTGGAAGAAATATTACGATGAGCAAAGTTTGGAGGAAAAGCTTACTCCCTTCGAGAGTTATCGTGCCAACCAGCCAGCCGGACGGACATTTGTTAATCGACTCCAAATTGTGTGAAACGGATTTGATGCAAAGAAATATTGGGTATAAGACCAATTTTTCCATGAGGCACATTTTTGCCGTATCAAAGTGGCATATAGCTGAGGATCTTTGATAGACCTTGGTAAAATATTTATAAAGAAAACCTCACCTTGATGGACCATGGACAAATATATATTTTTTAATACAATATAAGAATAATATTTTTAGCAAACATTGATAGACCATGACAACATATTTCTAACAAATTCCAGGCCTGATGGACCATGGAAAAATATTTTGTTTTAATCTACGCCTTGATGTTAAAATATTTTAAAACCAGTAAGGAAAGTTTAAAAGTCGGACGGGGCCGACTATATGATACCCTTCACAACTTTGGTTACATACAAGAGATGGAATCGAATTTAATAGATTTGAACTGAAATAAAGCAATCCATACTCATATATACATCTGAATCGATTTCAACAACAAAATATCGTGCAAATAGAACAGGATCTAAGGTGCGCCGTTTACATAAAACGGGACTAATGTATATATGTGAGCTACATTTAAATATGAATTTATGAAAATTTCATACTCGCTGCTAAATTTTATGAATATAGAACAAACATAGACTCCTCGGTGCGCCTTTTGCATAAAATCGGACGGAAATGTTTATGGGAGCTATATCTAAATCTGTTCCTATGTCAAAAAAACGTCACGGATGTCAACCTGTAGTTCTTCAATACGGCATTCAAAAGTTTCTCTCAATGGGAAAACATTGACTGCATGGTGCTAAAAACTAAACCGATTCCAACAAAACTTCGCATATATCAGTCTGGACATAATTCAGTAAGCTGTGCAGAATTTTGTCTTAATCGGAGAAATATTGGAGAAATAGAAATATTACTTAAAATTAGACAAAAATATATATGGGAGAAATATCTTAATCTGAACCGATTTCAACATATATCAATCTTGACCTATTTCAGTATTCTGTGCAAAATTTTGTCTCAATCGGACTAATATTGACAGTATGGTGATCCATTTACATAAAATCAGAAGAAACTATATAGAGGAGCTATATCTAAATCTGAACTGATTTTCTCCTAAGTTCAATAGGGTTCGTCCTTGGGCCAAATAAGTGACCTGTGCCAAATTTCATCCAAATCGAATCATAAATGCGACCTGTACTTTGTACACAGAAATACATGGATGGATGGACGGACATGCATTAATCGACTCAGGAAGTGATTCTACGCATATTCTCAAAAGGAACCATGGATCTCTCTCGATTCCTTTTGCTGTTACCAACATATGTACAAAGACATAATACCCTGTACCACAGTGTGGTGAAGGGAATAAAAACATGCCCTAATGGAACATCGGAAAAATATTTTTTTTTAAATCCATGCCTTGGTGAACCATATTTTTTTTTTAAATCAACGCTTTGATGGATCACAAAAATATATTGATTGGGGAAAAATAAATTCATTATTTTTATATGAACTATATGACTTTATTTAAAATGCTTCGGAATGTCCTATTTGGGCCAAATTTGCACAGTTTTGTTGATTTGTTGCCATTTTAAAGGTAACTCATAGAAGTCCTGCTCTGTATTTGGAAAAAAACTGCAATGAAATAAAAAGGTGATAATTGCTTGGTGCCATCGGTTGCATTTAAAATTCCCAACCAAGCTCACAAAGTTTCTGGGGAGTCACTGTAGATGTGTGTGGCCTAGCGTTGTCCTGGTGTAACACGACTCCTCTCTTGTTGGCCAATCTGGTCAATCTCCAAACGATCCAGTTGTTGACAGTAGAGATCAAAATGTATCGTTTGACCATATGGAAGCAGCTCATAATAAATAATTATCTTCTGGTCCCACCAAATGCATAGCAGAACCTTCCTGGCCGTTAGTACGGGTTTGGCTACCGTTTGATGAGCTTCTTCGCTCTTTGACCACACAATTATCTCCAGTCACCAACCGTTTAAGAAATGGGTCTATCTCATTCCGTTTGGCCAAGGCTTCACAGGTGGAAATTCGATCCATCCTTTTTTTTTTTTTTTTTTTTGTTAATTGGTGTTGCACCCAAACATCGAGCTTCTGTTTGAATCCAGTTTTGTGTAAATGGTTCAAAACAGTTTTATTGTCGATTTTTTGGACCTGGGCGATGTTACGACCGCTAACGTGCTGATTTAACTTCGATCATTTCTCCGATTTTAACGATGTTTTCAAAGATCGGCATAATGGATTTAGTTTTCTTTATAATCTTTAAAAAATACACACTTACATAGGTCTTAAAAAAATATACTTTAACAAATTCAAGTGAACATAGGCCTTGAAAAAATATTCTTTAAGAAATCCACGACTACATATGGTTCAAGTGAACATAGGCCATGGAAAAATATTCTTTAAGAAATCAACGCCTACATATGGTTCAAGTGAACATAGGCCTTAAAAAAATATTCTTAAAGAAATCCACGCCTACATATGGTTCAAGTGAACATAGGCCATGAAAAAATATTCTTTAAGAATATGTGGTTCAAGTGAACATAGGCCTTGAAAAAATATTCTTTAAGAACTCATCCCCAAAATATGGTTCAAGTGAACATAGGCCTTGAAAAATATTCTTTAAGAATTCCCCCCAAAATATGGTTCAAGCCAACATAGTCTTTGAAAAAATATTCTTTAAGAAATCCACGCCTATATATGGTTCAAATGAACATAGGCCTTGAAAAAATATTCTTTAAGAAATCTACGCCTACATATGATTTCATACATATATAAAAAATATTTCTTTAAAAAAATCTACGCCTATATCTACGACAATATTTCTTTTCAAAAATATTTCTTATGATTAAAAAAGTACATAAAAAATAATGCTCATATTTCTTTAAAAAATCTACGCCTATGGTTCTATATAAAAAACTAATAATTCTTAATGAAATCCATGTCTATGGTTATTTTCAAAAAATATTGTTTTTTACCAAAAAACCCTGTGTTCTAAAACATCAACCATTTTTTCTGAACCAACAATTTTTGTAAAAAATATTTAACTTTCGACAAAGATTTTTTTCCATTCCGAATAAAAGCAACCAGCTTAAGGAAAAAATTAAGAAAAACATTTAAAATGTTTTCCTTATTCCAAATTCATACCCCCACCAACACACCATGGTGTTTACCGCCCATAAAGCCAATGATAACTACTGTGAAGAAAATAGAAAAGAGTAATCCAAAACCAAAACAAGTGACAACATACAACAAACGTGAGTGGTGCAATGGTGGTGGTGGTAGATGGTGAGTGAG